AGGAGGCCGAAGGGGTGGAAGGGTAGGGGGTAGGTCCCCCAGAACCTCCACATCGCGGGGTTCCTTGTGAGCATTGCGTGAGGGCGTGGAGATGGGGGTCCCTGAGGGCGCGGGGGGGCGCAAAAATGGGGGGCTTCCCTGAGGACGCAGAGTTGGAGGGTCCCTGAGGGCGCAGAGTTGGAGGGTCCCTTAGGGCACGGAGTTGGGGGTCCCTGAGGGCGCGGTGTCGGGCACGGAGATAGAAGGAAGTATATCTATAGGTAGATTGATGGACCCATTATAGGTAGATAGATGGGCAGAACCAGCACTGGTGACCTCTGGGCCCCCCCCATCATTCTTGGGGGGGGCAGGCGGGGGTGCTGCCCTGTGATTTGCAGGATGTTTGGCTGCACCCTGGCTTCTAGAAGGCAGCGCCTTCCCTCCAAACTGTGGCAAGGACAAATGTCTCCAGACATTGCCAGGTGTTCCCCGGGGAGAGGATTACCTCCAGTGGAGAAGTACCTTTAGAGGTATAGAGAGATGATTGATAGATGGTGATAGATAAATGACAGATCAATAGGTAGGTAGATGATGATGATGATGATGATGATGATGATAATAGATAGATGATAGATAGATGATAGAGAGATAGATAGATGATAGATGATAGATAGATAGATAGATGATAGATAGATAGATGATAGAGAGATAGATGATAGATAGATGATAGATAGATAGATGATAGATAGATAGATAGATAGATAGATAGATAGATAGATAGATAGATGATAGATAGATAGATAACAGATAGATAGATATTTATATTATATTCTAGATGCGCCCTGATTGGAGATAGAACCTGCAACCTTGATGTACTGGGATGATTCTCTAACCACTGAGCCAGGGCTGAGGGTTTTTCTTTCAAGTCCCCGAAACATGTGTGTGTGTGTACACGCATGTGCACGCATATGCGTATATACATACGTGTGTGCACAGGAGTGCGTGCCTGTATGGATAGATGATAGATAGATGATAGATAGATAGATGATAGATAGATAGATAGATAGATAGATAGATAGATAGATAGATAGATAGATAGATAGAGATAGATGATAGATAGATAGATGATAGATAGATAGATAGATAGATAGATAGATAGATAGATAGATAGATAGATAATAGATAGATAGATATTTATATTATATTCTAGATGCGCCCTGATTGGAGATAGAACCTGCACATGCACGCGTTTGCTCTCGATTTAAAAGCAGACGTTAAACATCACCTCATTCCACTCTTGGATATTTGCAAGCACAGCTTTAATAGATGTTTTTGTGGGTTTTTTCCCCCAATAAAGACACAGCACCAGCATCCCATCCGACAATCCTCAATGTCACCGGCACCCCACCAGCCGTCCGTGTGTCCCGCCCCCACCCCTGATTCAAAATGCGGGGGGCCCTGATTCTGCTGTGGATGGAAGGTCTTCTCTTTGGACGTGCGGGGGTGTGGGGGGCAGGTTCCAACATGAGGTGTCTCAGGAGTCACAGAGACAGAGAGACGCTCACCCTGTGTGCTGGGAGAAATCCGAATGTCAGTCACCCGGGGTCCTGCTTCTCCCAGGGCTCCCTCTGTCCCTACCCCGCTGTCCCCACCCTGGCTTGGGCTACGTGAGCGTCAATATGCCTTCCGGTTTTCCTGGCTGCTGATAAGGCGAACAGCTTGAGTACGGTTCTGGGAAAACACACGCAAGCCACACTACGAACATGTTGAATGCAGGCCAGGGTCTCAGGTTAGCAGTCACACCCGGACGGTGTGACAAGGTGACTCTCCCCAGAGGCCGGAGCCTCCTGATGGAAACTCCCGGGAACGCCAGAGACCCGGTGGGCCCCTGAGTGATTTCAGTGGTGTCGGGGTCCCCCTGAGCAGTGCTGATGGGGCGTCGGCAGCTCTCACTGGCTAACAGGCTCCACAACCAAATAAAAATAGTCATATCGGGCTCTGGCCAGCGTGACTCGGTGGTTGGAGCGTCGGCTCGAGCACCCAAGGGTCTCCGGTTTGATTCCCGGTCAGGGCACATACCCAGGTTGCGGGTTCCATTCCCAGTTGGAGGCCTGTGGGAGGCAGGCGATCAATGACTGTCTCTCATCATTGATATTTCTCTCTCTCTCTCTCTCTCTCCCTCTCCCTTCCTCTCTCTGAAATCAATAAAGACATTAAAAAAAAAAAACAAAAAAACGCACACACACACAAAAAAATACTAACAATGTGACAAAACTCTGGACTCTGTCTGTTCACATCCCTGTGGAACCCAAGGGCCCGGGAACCTGGGGTCCCATTGGGGGACATTATAACTCAGGCAGATGACCCCTGAATGCTGCCTGTCAGCCTATCCTAGGTGGCCCAGAGCTAGCTGTGGGATGCTTTGAGGTTTTCACACTTTTTTTTTTTTTTTTTTTTT